AAACACTTGCGTCCCACTTTTTCTTAAACTCTTATTCTTTCTTCGTCTCACATCTCATGAATTTTTGTTCAAGAAAGTCCAAGATTTAAGAAAAACGCCGAATTCATTTTTGTTTTTGCAATAGTAATAATTTTTATTTGGTTGAAAGACAACTCCCGCATTATAAATATATCCTGTGTCGCGGGGGACTTTACAAACATACATGAAACGGACACAAAGTATATCAGACTCAGAACAACAGTTTGTGGATCACACAAAGTGTCGTCGCATATGGGGATCGAACCCACAACACTCAGAGTAGTAGTAAGTGGCGTGGCGACCGCTTAAACAGCCATCCGAGTCATTATATTTCCACTGAGAATTTCAACAATCCATCTGACCTATTACGACTGATGTCAGAAGAACAGATAACAGAGTATTAATAATAGAGTCCCGTTAACATTTTTTGTGTACGGAACCCTAAAAAAGTTATTCACAATAGCGATACTGAGTTAGTTAGTGATGTACCGTATGGTGTAGGATTGCAGTTAGCATTAAATGATATCAAACTAATTAAGTGATATAAAAACAAGTGAGTCTCTGTGACAGTTTAATTGGCCTACCGACATTGCCAATTAAAAAATGATTTAACCGACTTCTGATTGTGTCATTCGTTGTGTTGTCATTGTGTTACGTCATGTTAGAATCAAGGGCAGTATTACAGTTTCTAAGTCAGTTGGGTGGCGACCAAGAGTTTTTTTGGTAAAGTGTAATAAGTCAGGTATTGTCCCTGTCCTAATGGTGTCTCCAATCCATGGGACAGCCATAAATCAGTTCGACTGGTGATACCACGGCCTCACAGAGTAAGTTCTTTTAGAATGAACTCGCTCTCGACTTTGACCGCGTTTGGCGTTGCAATTGATGAAGATTTTAGTGAGGGCCAAAGGATGTGAAATAAACTCACACTAGGTCCCCAGAAGATCGGTGTTGAATTATTATTTCTATGCTTTTCACCGAGGGAATGAGGTCACGGGAGGCCCAAGTCCCTCCTAATTTGAGAGGGAAGAATCAAAAGATGGTAGTACACTTATAAAGCATATTGCTTAATATCGAACATAATTTATGGTAACTCGTGTCATAAAAAGGCACGTTCAATGCCCGCCGTCTGATCATTGCCTTAAACGATTACAACATAACACACACATGATCATTTTTTTAGAAGACTTTACGTAAGTATAAATAGAAAAATGCGGAAAGCTAAAAACTTAATTCAATATATATTATGTAACAAATTAAAAACATCATCATGACAACATCATTATCACATCAACAGCCTGTAATAGTCCACTGCTGGAAATAGGCCTCTCCTTAGAAAGGAGGTTTTGGCCTGCTATACCACGCTGGCCAGACGGGTTGCTATAGGGTTTGTGTCAAGTTTTCCTTTTTGTTGCAGTGCTGGTGTCCTGCGTTGTTTTGCGCCCTTAGTCGGTTCTCACGACACCCACGTGATGAATTGGGGTAGTGACATTCCGTATTCTTAATCCGTCACTACACGGACAATAAAAAACATATCTATATTAAAATCGCCATATCAAAAATGCTTTTAGTAAATATGTTGATCTGTCATGGTATGGATAAAAAATGACAGTTCAAGTTCAACAATTAAAACTGTATACTAATGAAATTCAACTACCACGTTATATTTCGTATTAAAATTTACTAATATATAATATTTAAACATCTACAAACATTCACTACAAAGATAAGACCTTTTAAAAGTGGACAAAGAACGGCATCAAAGCAACTATTTTTACTCGACTTGTTTACTGAAAATACACGGGAAAACATTAACCCTTCCTTGACAGGAAGGGTTAATGTTTTCCCGTGTATCTTGTGTATTTGTTTGTAATTTCTCTATTACCAAGTATCTTCCAAATGACGGGACGGGTTTCGTCAGTTAAAGTATTGTTTAATACGTCTCAAAACTCAGGTGTCCTTAGATTGCTTTTTGAAAGAAAAAAACAAGATGGTGGATTTTTGGCGCAAAATAGTATTTAATAGGTTAATGAAAAAATAACCAAACTTATCGAGTAGAGTATCAAAATCAAGAAAATTAGAAGGGGATTACAAAAATATGTACAAGTAATATATTTTACTAGCTGAACTTCGTCTGCGTCTTTCAATAGCAATAATTTTTCTCCGTTTTTAAAACATTCTTCATTCGTGCTCCGCTCCTATTAGTCTTAGCGTGATGATATATAGCCTATAGCCTTCCTCGATAAATGGGCTATCTAACACTGAAAGAATTTTTTAAATCGGACCAGTAGTTCCTGAGATTAGCGCGTTCAAACAAACAAACAAACTCTTCAGCTTTATAATATTAGTATAGATTAAATAAGAAATAATAAATTGGTTTAAAACGTTTTTGATGGAGTAAAAACAAACATGGCCCACAAGCACGAGTGCTGTTTCGGTCTTTTTAGTGCATTACGTATTGTCTTTTTGTAGTCGGGGGTTTTTTTTTTTTTTTTAATGTAGACTTGTTACCTACAACTGTTTGTAAACAAGTATCAACGCAGTCGATATTAGCGGGTTTCAGCAAACATAACTATAACTAATTCTGGTTCTTAAATAATCAGTTATACCTACACCTGTCTGTTAAACTAGTTCGTGCAATAGTCAAAGTGGTTGCCTCACCACTACGCAGCGCCGAGTGATAGGTTCGATTGAGAAACTGGGCAAATATTTGTGCGATCCTTAAAGATGTCCTCTGTTCGTTCTTTGAGTCAATTTTTCCATTGTTTGAAAAGTCCCCCGTTATACAAAAACTATTCCTATTGCGGGTGTTGTCATAAAAAAAATGTTTTTGAAAAACTAGAATACCTAATCCCGAACTTGTGCCGAGTTCCTGGAGCAGGGGAATTAGTATTGGAGTTGAGAATACTTTTTGATGAACCATACCTATAAGTTTCCCATTATACGATGTTATTATTCTGAATACAGGGTACTTTTATAAAGTTATATGCGACTAATCGAATCTAGTAAAATATGACGTATAAATGCTACGACATATCTACGTATAATTATTGTTTAGTGAATTTTTTTGCGAGTTACAAAAGAAATGGAGAAGGAAAACTTGACACAAACCCTATACCAACCCACCTGGCCAGCGTGGTATAGTAGGCCAAAACCTTCTTTCCAAGGAGGGGCCTATGTCCAGCAGTGGACTATTAAAGGCTGTTGATGATAATCATGAACATATGAGAAGACGTACACAACCTGATGTCTCCGCAGTTTCAGTCTCTGACTTCTGACCTTCGTTTCGTCTAACAAAGAAATCACGACGGTAGTAAACACTTATATTACCCAAACTAAAGTATGCGCTAGGTATAATATATGCCACGAACTAGTTACCTAGCTACATTAGGAATTTGAAAGTTAGGGATAAATAGGTATCTTAGTGTTAGGCGGAGGGAAGCCTTCGGTTCCCTCGGGATGGAGCCTAGTAAGTAAGACATCGATACGGAGGGGACCTGAAATCACATGGTCTGGGTCCTCCCCAGAGTAGGGCGCCTGAGGCCGGCCATCGGGGTGGTTCCCTTGCGTCCTCCAGCAGCCGGAGATACGAAGGGATTTTCCATCCCGTCAACAAAAAAAGGGATAAGTAGGTATATGTAAAATCTGGAGTAGTCTGGAAACTGATATAGCTACACAATCAAATGAGAACCTCACGATAGCAAATAATGGTAGTCGTAATGATTTATATGGAAAGATAGATGTTATTATTTCTAATTATCCATTCATTCATCCATTCATTCATTCATCAATTATCCATCCATTCCATATTTCACAGTATATTAAAAGGAAAGGTAGACAAGAAAGGAAAGCAGTAAATAATAAAATAGGTTGTAATAGGAGGCTAAGGTATACCTGATACCGCGGTTACTGGTAACCGAGACGGCGTTTTTGGTCGGTTCGAGCCCGACGTAACCACCGGTGGGTGGTATCCAAGGGGATATCCGCACAGAAAAAGAAAAGGGGGTAGTAGGATATCGCTTATTGGGATTCATCAGGACATGTACCCGTATACTGATAAATTAGAGGGTCACATACATGTGGTTCGAACTGGTTATTACCGTGAATGCCTAGGTTTCCAACATTTTAAATCTATACAAATAAATAAAATTGAAGTGTCTGTTTGTAATGTCAAAAAATAATAGGTTTTTTCATGCTTACACGGTTATTTGCATGATACCTATGCCTAAAACCAGTTTAAATATTTTTTGTCTGTCTATCTGTCTTTCTGTCTGTCTGTTTGTTAAGGGTAATCTTCAAAACGGCTTTTACTACCAAGTAGCTGTCTATTTAAGGAGTAACTTACGCTGTTTTTTCTCTCAGAAAAACCCTATAAAATTTTGCCTGGTCCGGGAATCGAACTCACTAAGGTAGCGTTTTTCAAATACCACGCGAACGAAGACTCAGGCACCAGCTAGTACTGAATATACGTAGCGTATAGGTAATTATATTGTGGTAGTAGGTAATTATAGGTATTGATTAATGACTAAGAAAGTTTTATTCGCTACGATTTCCTCGTTTATGTTAGGTACTTTCAGTTTTAATAATAGGGGTTGTTACGTAAATTTTGGTTTACAAAAAAAAACATCTGGTGTATTTCAAGTAAGTAAGTTAGATAACGGGATAGTTAGATATTCGTAGATTATACCCATCGCATATTCTTAATGTCTAAAATGTAACTTTTTTATTATTTTTTGATTTTTCTTAAACAAGACAACTCCCGCACTAGGAATGAATCCTGTGTCGCGGGGGACTTTACAAACATACATAAAACGGACACAAAGAACACCCAGACTCAGAACAACAATTTGTGAATCACACAAAGTGTCGTCCCATGTGGGGTTTGAACCCACAACATTCTGCGTAGTAGTAAGCAGCGTGGCGACCGCTTAAACCACTACGCCATCCATTTACAAAAAATGTAATAATTAACCATGATAACTTACCGCTAGGCTTAGGAACGTTTCTCTTCACTTGCATCCACTTATATGTCGGAACAGCTGCATGTGACGCATGAGCTTGATGCCCCTGCAGGTGACCGTGGGGCCCCACGCAGTCTCCCTCCCGCGGGAACGGGTCCCGGAGCCCAGCGAACTCGTCCTTCGGCTGATAATGCTCGAATTCCGTACACGGCAACGGGGACCCTTGATTGTACTGCATGGTCGTCTCATCCACGAAATGCATGTTGTATTTCGTCTCCAGATAGTGATTATCAATTTTATGATCATGCATATGCATGTCTTCGTGCCGAGGAACTTCCTCCCGGTGTTTAAATGCCTCTGCATGCGTCGGCAAGGTGTGTATGGGATAATTTGGTTGCAGGTCTCCGTAATCCAAATTTGTATAACATAGACCTGTGTCTGTACTGATCACTGGAGTGGTCGGATGCTCGTGAGTCGTCTGCCCGTGGAGGAGAGGTTCGTAGTAGTTAGATGCTGGTTCGTAGTATTCGTGGTAGCCTTCGTAAGGAGGCTGGTACCCGGCACCCTGCTGGTAATATTCGGGAGCGCCATAACCGTTCTGTTGGTTGTTGTACATCCCGATGTCCATAGTCATCATGTTTGTGAGCCAACAACTATCGATATCGAACTTTTACATCACACACATCACTATGCGTCCGAGTGGTGGCGCGGCGTTATCGACCGCACGCCCGCACGTCAGGTGTACCGACGAACACTGAACCCAGCGGCATATTTTTCTTAACCACACCTAAAAACTTTAATTCATCGTCCCTGTCTATCGCGCACGAACACTATGGTGGTGACAAAGACGGAGTTATCTTGAGGAGTGTTGATATTATCGTGGGTTGATAAGAGAATAAAAATTTTGATTTAATGGTAACAGATCTTTGTGTTACGGTAGATGATTACGTTAATGAACGTGTTGGACGTCAGATATGGACTGGACGCTGTCAGACGTTTATGGAAAGGAGTCTGGAAACTTATTATGTGAGGGGTGGTGTCTGCGAGGTAGGAGGGGCCTGTGTTTCTGAGGTAGCCAATGGGTGTTTGTGTTTCGAGTGTCCATATTGGATTGGTTGTGCGGAGATGATAGTGCGAATCTGGGAGGCTGGGAGCGCTCTGGTCGTTTTTTTATTTGGCCCTTGTGGCCGTGAATGGTCCTATACGTAACACTTGGTATGCTTTAATTTATCCAACTGACGTAAATCGATTTGAAGGTGTGAAATGCATGTTCTTTTTGTTTTTTTTTGTACCTAATGTGCAGCTGTCCTTGCGGCTTTCTTGTTCAGAAATAAATATATATGGAAGTTATTTAGTTTAATATATTTTTTAAATTATTGTTTGTTTTTGTGATTGTATTAAAATGTCTTGAGTGTTATATGATAAACTAGGTGTATGTGGCACAAATGTGGAATAACACTGATGCAAAAAATAGATACTAAACAACAATCTTTGAAGCGGGTTATTTACCGTTTAATATACCTCTGTTGACTTTGCCTACGAATAAACGCCTACCCCATTTAAGTCTTATAGTTACCTAGGTATAATAAAAACAATTAATAGGTATTTATTTGTTTGTATTTCACGCATTTTCGGATCGGTAGACCGTTCATGTGTTTGTTCTTTAATAGTCCACTGTTGGACATAGGCATCTCCTTAGAAAGGAGGTTTTAGCCTACTAGGTATAGTGCCCTAGCCAGACGGGTGGGTATGGGGTTTGTGTCGAGTTTTTCTTCTCTTTACGGTGCTATTGTGTGTTTGTTTTTTACACCTAAACTACTAACTGTCCGTGAGGTGACGGATTAGTTATACAGAATATCACCACTCATATACATCCCGTGGGTGTCGTAAGAGTCGCTTAAGGGAGCAAACTATACAGGACAACAGCACTGCAAAGAGAAAGAAAAACTTGACACAAACCCTATACCAACCCGTCTGGCTAGCGTGGTATAGTAGGCCAAAACCTTATTTCTAAGGAGAGGCCTATGTCCAGCAGTGGACTATTTCAGACTGTTGATGATGATGACACTACTAAACTGATTTTAAAAAAATTATTTCACCAACGGAAAACTATATTATCAGCGAGTATGTTACTCGGCTTTTTTTTTAACGCGATAAACGACATACTCGTACATACGGACGGAGCCGCGGGCAAAAGCTAGTACTTAGGTATATTATAATGTGAATGTTAGTTTGTTTGTTTTTATGTTTTCATGCCTAAACCACTAAACCGATTTTAAAAATTCTTTCACCAATTTAAAATTACATAATCACCACACGGAATTTATATTCCAAAAAATATGTAAATTAACATATTTTTTGGTGCTTTACGACCATAAAGACAAATAGTTTTTTTTTATTTGATCATAGACTCAACAAACTAAATCAACTTTATCCAAAAAAAAATGGTTAATTAAGACAACATAATACCTACCTCACACTCCTCACACAGGGCTGTCTGATTATAAACTAGACAGAGCCTGTACTAGGGTAACCAGACTCCTGAAAAAGACGGAGACGGAGCCACGGGCAAATGCTATTATAGGTAAATACACATATTATATACGTACTAGAGTTGTGCCGTATATCTCTATCCGCAAATATCCGAGTTTAATAAAATATCTGTATCCGTATCTGGTAGGTAATCTTTAGTCGAAATTCAACGGGTCTTTCATTTAGATTGAAATTGTGGTATTTTTGGGTTTAAAATTAAACATTGAACAATCTAATGTTGTGAGTTACTAATGCTGTAAACACTTATAAGGTATTTTTGCCTATCGTTATACACAATTTCATATTCATTTTTTTTTAAAGACAACTCCTGCATTAGGAATATATCCTGTGTTGCGGGGGACTTTACAAATATACATGAAACGGACACAAATAACACCCAGACTCAGAACAACAATTTGTGGATCACACAAAGTGTCGTCCCATGTGGGCCACAACACTCGCCGTAGTAGGAACCGGCGTGGTGACCGCTTAAACCACTACGCCATCCGTGCAGTCAATTCAACCACCATTGACATTAAACATCAAATCTTTGTGATGTTTATGTATTAAAATAGTTATTTAAAAAATAACCTACTCCGAATGTCACGTTAGTTAGTTAGTCTTAGTTAGTCTTGAACGTCAACTATTGTTTTAAGGTTAGGTACGCGTAATGGCATTAACTAAGCAGAAACGTTAAAGTCCGTGTACTAAAACGGACCTTAAATTTTCTTTTTATTTAGTAACTTGGTCTTTGTTTAATACAATGTTGTGGTATTTTTAATGATGCCATTGTACTTATCTGTAAATTGCAAAAGAGTGGCCAACCCTTTGGGAAGGGGCGGTTGTGGATCGGCACAGGCATATCACAGATTTTGTATCAGCATAATTCTTATTTAGTTTTTTTCCTTACTGTTTGACAAAACAGAGATTGCTGCTATTGTGTGTGTGTGTGTGTGTGTTGATCTACGACTTTAGAGTCTACATAAAAGACGATTTCAAACAATTTTTTTCTTTTAAGAAATAAAGATATTTTGAATTTGAAATGCAGATACTCCAGATGCAGATCCAAATTTGCGAATCTAAACACTAATAAATCTCTACCCGAATCCGTATTCGCGGATTTAGGTAGGTAGGTATATTTAACGATCTGGTACATCACTATTGTAGGTGCCTACTTATCTACAGCTAATCATGTCACTGCTCCCCCGAGGGACTCCAGCGACTCCTTCCAGCGAACTTTGGGGGGAATATTCCAGTTAAGTTGTGTAGAATGTAGGTCAGGTCATATGTAGTACGTACATATGTACTCATTATGTAGATGCCAAAAATCAGACGACCGGATGGCGTAGTGGTTTGTGTAACGGACTGCTATTCTAAAGGTCGCGGGTTCGATTCCCGCTCAAGTCAAACATTTGTGTGGATAAACTTTCAATGTTTGATTTGGTCTGGGTGTTTCTATGTATAATAAGTATGTATTTACAAAAAAAAATGTATAAATGTATTTATATCAGTTATCTAGTACCAATAGTACAAGCTCCACTTAGTTTGGGACTAGATGGCGTTGTGTGAATGTGGTACAATATTATTATTATTATATTATTATTATCAGTATATTATTATATTATTATATCAGTCGGGTCGTTGACCTTACCGCTAACGGTCGTCATATTCTACACTACCGTCGTTTGTGAAAACAAAAACAGTGTTTCTGAACTTTTCTTTTTGTTTTTTTTGTTTTTTGTCGAGTGTGTCTGCTGGATATTGTATCGAGATGAGTTCACATAAGTGCGGTGCCTGTGATGAAGCGATGTCTGAAGGTGCTCATTGCACAGCATGCAAACAGACTCTGCATTTCCACTGTGCGGGAATTACCGAGGCTGGCCATAGGAGGCTGGGAGATAGAAAGCTTACATGGCGTTGCTCGCAATGCAAACTGTCTGGCATCACCCAGCTAACAAGCTCACCGAGAGCTTCGAGACCAGAACCTGAGACAGAGATAGCGAGCGAAATTCGAGCTTTATCGACTAAGTTGGCTCCGTTAGAGGGATTAAAGGAAGAAATCATGACTTTGAAAAGCGAGTTTGCTGATTTAAGGTCCTCCCTCACCAAAGAGTTCAATGATACCGTTAAGGAATTTAGTGTAAAGCTAAACAAAATGGAACAGCGCATTGGGCATATGGAAAAGGTTCAAGATCAAGTGGACCGGCTGCAATCACGGATGGATAATTTAGAAGAGGAATCCGATAAAAAGGACCAATGGTCACGAATGAACAACACGGAAATAAAAGGCATACCGCAAGCAAAAAATGAAAACCTGTTTGAAATTGTGTCCAAACTCGGTGAAAAGATTAACTACAAAATTACAAAACAACAAATAAATTTTATAACTAGAGTTCCATCTCTGCAAAATGACCATTTGAAACCAATTGTAGTAAATTTTTGTAACCGCTATGTAAAGGAGAATTTTGTAGCCGCGGCGAGGCTAGAATCGAAGACTTCTCCCCTGTCAACAGCCAAAATAGGACTACAAGGAAATCACAAAATCTACGTCAACGATCACTTAACTTTAAAAAACAAGACCTTATTATCCAAAACCAAGAAGGCCGCGGCAGAAAAGAATTTTCAATATGTATGGGTGAAATACGCAAAAATACATGTCAGAAAAACGGATACGTCCCCTGTGTTTATTGTGAATTCGGAAAGAGATATGGCAAGAATGGTTTAATTGGTTTAAAATGTCAATTATATTCTTATAGAATTACGTCCAACAAAGTATTACAGTTTGAGAACCGCAAACTGCATTGTGCTACCCGTGTTTTCCTACTATCCCATTATGTGTTCACAGTGCATTTAAATAAATCTTTGATTCGTGCAACCTATCGGTGTTCAATAGATGTAAGCCTTATAAGTCTTTTAACACGTACAATTAAACACAATTTCTATTGCAGCTTACTTTGCCTTAAGAATTATTGTCATTGGCCACTGATGTCGTTTGTGTGCCCGTATTTTATTTACACTCATAAATGGTGTTCAAACTCATCCATAATGAGACACCGTGCGTTGCTGTGTTTACGAGATTCAGTTAAGTTATTGTGGTCTACCCTC